GGTCAGCATTCGTTCATGGAGAGGGCGGGGGGACCCAAGCCGGGTCATACCATAGATGAGAACCCTGTCGGCGAACGAGTAGAGCGCCCAGATGTTGGGGGCCCAGTAGGCATGGCACAGCCCACGTGAGAAAGGAAACAGCCGGCTGAGCAGCTGGGGAATCTGCTGCAAGTACACAAAGGGACCGAAGGCGGCGCCGAAAATGGCGCCAATGCCAAGACCAAGCTTGACGCAGTTGAAGAACCTGATGGTGTAGATGGATCTAGGCGACAAGCAGTAGGCGCGCAGCAGGAAGACGAAATAGGCAGGCGCCAGATACAGGTAAATGTGCTTCATGCATAGCAGCGCAGCAAAGACGAGACCGCTGGAGAGCAGGGTCGATTTGCTGCGGGCCAGGACGAGCGAGATGATGAGGATGCCGTACATGCAGCCATTGTATTGGAAGTGAATGTGATCAATGATGAGCAGGCCGGGCGACAGAAGAATCGAGAGGGCAGCCGTCTGGGTAGCGCGCCGGTTCGAGGGGCTCGCCGAGTCGATGAACCTGCGTCTCGATTAGTGACTTGGCTCGCACCAAAGAGGGAGGTCATCCCACATGTGCAGCGCAAAGACGAGAACAATCTCCGAAATGATGACGCTCCACCTCTGAAAGTATATCGTCTGCCAGCTGTCATACTCAAGGTTGTACAGCTTGGTCATGGACGGATCGACGAGCTTGGCGACCTGCGACAGGGCCCATTCGAAGTAGGCGAAAAAGGGGGGGTAGTCGAGGGTCCATTCTGACGTCTTCTCGAGGTACCACTGCGAGATGGGCAGGCTCTCTGTGATGGCTAGCCAATTGCGGTGCACCTCAAAGTCGGTCGATTTGCTGTGCGTCCGCATTGTCAGCTGCCATGTGTGCTTTGGCGACAGCAAGCACAAGGAGGGGCACCCACTATGCTGGGAAGAGCAGCACCTTGAACGCGGCCGCGACGAGGGCGCATTGCGTGATGGTCGGGAAGTGGTCGGCCATTGTGATGCGTGGTGTTCGTTCACCGGTGCGATCGCGCTGGCATTGCCGAGAGTGATCGTGAAGAAAGAGGAAGCTGTTTGGGGCCACAGCGTTGACGACGACGTGCACAATGCCACGGAGCTGTGCTTTCTCTCACCTGTCGGTCACTTGTCTCTTTCTGTTTTTGTCTTGTCTGTCAATTAGACTTGGACTCTGAGTATTGTGTTCTGTGCTGTCTCCTCGGTCCGACCCTGGCCCTACTTCCTA